GTGACGACCCACGGGGACGGCTGTGCACCCCTATTGTTCCCCAACTATCACCACAGTTGCTACTACGGAAGGTTGCTGGCATCTACCCGCTGCGGTACGAGTAACGCGCAGGAGGACGCCGAACCGAGCAGGGTTGAAAACTCTCCCTTTCAAGTTTAAAAATCTACGAAGAGGCGAACTGCTGTTACACGACGGCATATCATGAACCTCGGGGGCATGGAAGCTATCGCTCAGCAGGTGGCCGGGAAGGCCATCCTGGATCACGCGAAGGAAACGGAGCAAAAGTTGGTGAGACGTGTGCGTTGTGGAGTAGAGGTTTAAAAGAAATCTACTAATGCTTCAGCTGCGGGAACCTGCGCTGCTATGTAAAGTCCGACACTGCTGTCTACCATAGGTGACGTAATATACCACATCCCTTTGAACGATTTTCAAAGCGCGACTCCTCCACGACGAAGCGGGTGCCAAACTCAAATGACATGTTTTCGGAAAGATCTCGACGAGACTGTTCCAGCGACGCCATTTTGAGCTCTGACTTTCTACTGTGGGGTATTCGAGCTTCGATAATCGGTCCACGGGGAGAGTGTCATATGTGTTCCAGTAGGTACCGGCAGTTTGGTTTGGTACCAACAGCGTGGGCTGCCGTAGCAAGTAGGCCGACATGTTATCCGCAACATCCCATCGCCCGAGCTCATGTGAAAACATTGTGGGTATTTTCAATCACCGAGAGCTGGAAAATGTAGCCTGGGTGCAGTCGAACAGGCGCCCCACTTTTCGACGCCGTACATATCTCCGCACTCTTGTCCGTTTTTGACCAGCGGGGACTCGGTGTCTGTGTACCACATACATACCACAAAGCATCGACTCAGCCGTAGGACTTTTCCTGTTGAGGGCTCTTGCCGTGGCCTGTGGCTGACAGCACGCCACCCACGGTTGTAGGTGTTCCCCCTGCGTATAGACAGTAGTAACAGTGGTGGACAAGGCTGGTAGGTGCTAGCCCCTTTTGAACCGGGGGGCAACCGGCATTCTTCAAATTTCATCATGCCATCTGAGCTAGACGATTTCACGGGCATTGTACAGGGCAACGGACAATATGGCGGGACCACTGCTTTAGCAACACGCGACGAGGTCAATGCCGATGTCAATGTTGGTCTACGCATACGATACCTTACCAATCTTTGCGGGACACGGAACGAACGTCCCGTCCCGTCGCAGGACGCAAAACTGGCCAAGCTGGAAAACATGGATGAGGACGACTTGGACAAGCTTAGGGAGAAGCGGAAGGCGCAGCTTATCGCCGCTCAGAAGATCAAGCAGGTAAGGATACGGGGAGAGGCCAAAAACGCGACGGGTGGCTCGATCGGTAGTCTACGCAGGTCCTTCTAAGCAAGCAAACATACTGGATGCAGTACAGAATCAGCCAAGTTGGCGTTGTGGTTACCGTCTGCGTGCCCCCTCCTTTGTCCGGTCTTCGTGATAAGCTTGCGAAAGCAGCCCGACTCGGTGAAAGAGGTCGGCGGAATTGAGAAATTGAGGCCGTCCTTTGCAGTGGTAGGCACCCTCATCCAAGTCATTCGTCAGGGATCCCTGGACAAGGAACCATATTGAGTAGCTGGTAACCGCACTTGAGGGGTAAAGGTGGCGTCATAGGACACAACGTCAAGTTGCGGCAGCAAGGATTCACGATTCGATATGCGCACCTTCTTGGCAAAAGCGGGGTTTGGCTTGTATTTGTGTTATCACTACCCTTTCGCGTCAGGACCCCTAACAGGCACGCCCATCGTGCCTTGTACGGGGGTATTCTGCGTTGCTCAAATCCAGCTTGGCCTCTTGTCTGGACCCGCAAAAAAATGTCTTCGAGCCCGGAACGTATCTTCACCTAGCCGAATGATCGAGGTATTCCAGGTTGTCCCTCCTCCTCCCCCCCTGGCGCCAATAACAGAACACGATCGTCACGCTGTGTTTTGCTCTCGAGGAGAGGCACCCCGGCAGATCGATGTGCGCCGGGGAAGATGCGTTCGCGTTTGGGCACAAATCGTCGTTGTTTTGACGATGCAGTCCCCCGTGTGGATGTGTTGCTATTTCCACTCACACATACACACATTCACAAGATTCACACACACACCCCTTGATGTTTTTTTTTTTGCGTAAATACAGGAAAACCTCTCGAATGGGCATGGGCGGTACTCCGAGCTGCCTGACCAGCCCGCCTTTTTCGAGGCGACCAAGAAGAGCAAGGTTAGTGAGATGGGGGTTCGAGCTCGGGTGGTATTGGCGATCATCTTCATTGCCCACGTTGAGGATAAAGAGAAGGGGAACCCTTGTTTGGTCCCGACTTTTTTGGTGCTAGGTGTCTTGAGATGCATTTTTTTTTTGTCCATATTAATTCCCTTGTGTTGATGTGACTTATGCAAGGGATGACGAGTGACAGTTGCGTATCTTTGAACGTTGGTGGGGCTGCCGCATCAACATCCTACATCCGACGAGCCCCCTTTTCAGCCAGAATAAGGGACTGCTCGCATCAACCAACGACCGCTTCTCCTCGGCTTTGAGGAAGAAAAATAATTTTGTGCTGACTGACTTTTCGTGTGTCGTTTTTCTCTCTCTCTCTCTCTCTCTCTCTCTCTCTCTCTCTCTCTCTCTTCTCTCTCTTTCTCTCTCTCTCCATCTCCATCTCCATCTCTCTCTCTCTCTCTCTCTCTCTCTCTCTCTCTCTCTCTCTCTCTCTTGTTCTGGGGGTGCAGTGGATGGCAGTACACTTCTACCGCCCGACAACCCAGAGGTGTCAGATCGTCGATGGCCACCTGGACCGCCTCGCCCAGAAGCACGTAGAGACTAGGGTACGTCTTGTGTCAGAGTGTCAACAAATAGCCTATGCAGAAATTTTCAAAGGCGGCGTTGCTGTTGCCCACCCGTGCAGGAACACTTGGTGAGTCTTGCCATAGGTTCTTACAAACATTTGACAGTAGTGTATTGGCTTCTGTTTACTCAAACGTAGCACAGTGTTCCAGCTGGTTTTCTCCCATTCCCTTCGTGGCTTTCTCCCACTCACTGCGAAAGACTTGAATACATCCTCAAGTTGTGTCTCGAATGGATACTTTTTCTGTGATCGTATGTGTGTTTTAAGAAAAGGTTAAGTCTGCGACGATGAAGTTGCTGTTGTCTACCCCGTGCAGGTGTTTGATGCGGCGTAGCAACCCCCCCCCGGTCAAGCACCCTCGAGGCAGCTACACAGTGCTAACAACTGTCTCTGGAAGTGAAGTACCAGAAAATAAATTTAAGTCATACGCAGCTGTCATCCGTACGCAAGGAAGTACGGACAAGCTGCCGAACACCCTTAGCAGGATGCAGCGCACCCTTCAGGCGACTCGCCGAATATCTCACGGCGCTT